AAAAATTTCATTTATTATTTCATTAAAAATTGACAAAGTAGTTAAATTATAAAATTTGAAAATCTTACAGTTAAATTAATCTTGTATCCGATATGAGTTGCAGCATGTTGCAAAGCTTTCGTGACTGATGCATATGCATCTTGCAACTTTGTGTATTTTCCCACAAGTGCTATATTAACAATTTGCCTCGACTGATCTATCCTATAAAACATTTCAAATATTCCCTATTATCTTGATATATTTTTTTATATTTAATTGATAAGATATGTATGTATATTATTAATATTTTTTTACCTATCTGCTAAATTTTTCCAATTTAACATAAAATCATTTGGTAATGGAAGTGAAATATTCAATTGTAATCTGTTATTAAAAAATTCAATAACTTTTTGGCTTTCCATCAATAAAGGTATTCTGTATATAGAAGATAAGTCATGGATGCATATCACCTACAAAAAATCAATTATACACAACATTCCGATTAAAAAAAAAAAAAAAAAACCACAAGACATTTATTTTTAATTTACATTGAATTACCTGTTCTGGAGGAACATGGCAAAAATTTGAAATTTTTTTTTTAACTTCTTCACAAATAGGTCCTTCACTTCTACAAACTATTAAATCAGGTGATAAACCTAAACCTCTCAATTCCCTAACACTAGCCTGAGTTGGTTTCGTTTTCGCTTCTCCTGTTGATTTCGGCTGCAAGTTAAAAATTTTCAAAACATTAAAATATACCATTTCATTTCTAAATTGTCAGTAGTGCAAATAAAAAACACTTTAGAAAATAATTAAAATAATAATTAAAAAATAAGAGTTTCATTTTTTTAATACAGTATTTTTGCAAAGAAAAAGACTTTCGACACTTAAGAGAACATTGAAAAAATTTTTGTTATAAATTTATAATCTAACCTGAGGAACAAGTGAAACATGCACCACACAAAAATTTTCCCTTTTTACTTTAAATTGAAATTGTCTAAATGCTTCCACGAATGGCATTCCTTCTATGTCACCAATTGTTCCTCCTAGTTCTATTATACATACTTCTGGAAACACCTCTGAATTTTGACTTATAGATTCATTAGCAACTTTTTCTATCCATTCTTGAATGGCATCAGTAATGTGAGGTACAACTATGAAAAATTTTAGAAAATTATATAATTAAAACAAAATAATTCTGATTACATAATAGTTGATAATAATTTAAGCTATCAATAAAATAAATTTATTTTTCATGCATACTTTAATCTAGGTCATTTTTAAAATGAATAACAGAGGCATAATTTCTTTTAATTAATAAATTAAAAAGTTTCGTTAAGTGTATTATTTGTTAATAAAAGTTCACTTGTTCACCTTGCACAGTTTTTCCTAAATAATCTCCTTGTCTTTCTCTATTAATCACATGTTGATAGATTTTCCCAGTTGTTATGTTATTGTCTTTTCTTAAGGTTATGTCCATGAATCTTTCATAATTTCCTAAATCCAAATCGACCTCACTTCCATCATCCAGCACATAAACTTCACCTGTACATTAAAATTATAAATTTTGTTTAAAATTAACAAATAAAGGATAATTTCATTTGCTTTTTGTTAAAATGATAAAGTTAATACAAATTACTTTTTATTGAAAAAAAAAAAAAAAAAATTATTAGAATAAGATTAAAAAGAACAAAATGAAATGTGCTTTTGTGCTAAGTATACTTATTAAATTAACAAATTTAATAATTAAAATATATTCAATATAGTATTAATAACTTATTAATTATAATTTGATTTAAACATGATTAAAGAAATAAATGAAAAATTGAAAATATTTTTTATCATCATTTAAATTTTGAAATCTCCATATATATATGTTGTGTGTGTGTGTGTCCCTCTTTGACAAAAAAAAAAGTAAAGCAAATTATATGAAATATGATTTACATAAGGGGTTCTTCAGTTATACAAAATAAAATGCAATAATTTTTAGTGTTGAAGTATTCCAATATTATTCAAGATCAATTAAGTGGTTTTTGATAATTAATAAAAATATATTTTACGGATACCATGTTCATACGGCGAAAAAGTTCCTGCATCAATGTTGATGTAAGGATCAATTTTAATGGATGTCACGTTTATCTTACAATGTGTGAGCATTGTACCAATGGAGCTCGCAATAACTCCCTTTCCGACACCGCTAATAACTCCTCCGGTGACCAGTATATACTTTACCATTTTGAATTGACGTACATGTACTACTAGTATATTGAGAAACAATAACGGTGGTTTAACGGTGAAATTTCATGTGACCGAATTTCCGGCGGGTTGTAGGGGCCCTGAAAAAAAAAAAAAACGATGATATTCTCTTTCGGATATAGACCATTGGTTAAGAAAATATTTTTTTTTAAAATTCATTCCTCAGTCAAATCCTGAGTTATTATTATTAATTGCACATATTTGGCACAAAATAATATGAATTACAATAAAATATATGTTAATGTAGCTTCTTTCGAATTAACGTTTCCATTTATTTAAAGCTGATTAAAATATAGTAAAATGTATATGTAAAACCTTTAGGAAAATATTCTGTGAAAAGTACATTACTTTTCTTTTTTTTATGATATACATAATTAATTCGAAAAGTACTTAAATATTCAGTCAATATTTAACATATTATCAAAACATAACTTATTTACAAAAAAAATTATCATTATGATTTTTGTTGCAAGTTGAAACCAGTAATATTTCAGTTTTCAACAGGTCAAAAAGAAAACAAATGAATATACAAACAATTGAAAACAATAAAGCGGTTTAAAAGATTTTTTTTTTTTTTTAAATAAATCCACCACAAAGTTTACAACAATTAAATTTTTTACTGAAAAGAATTTAAAAAAAAAAAGAAAATCTCTCTCTGAATTCCTATGATCAATCATTTATATTTAATTCCAATTAATAAATTTACAAAATGGTTTATATGAAATTAAATAATTAATAAAAACAAAGACCTTTTAATTATTCACAATTAAATTCATTGTGTCATTATTTAAATAAATAAAAAACAATCTTTGAATCCGCAAAAAATTTAATTGTAATTTATTTATGTAGGTAATTAAAAAAAAAAAAAATTAATGTTTCAACATGATGATATAAAACATCACTGGCAATTATTTTTAAAAGTTTTTCAAAAAGATGTTAATCATTTGTTTAAGAGTTAAAATTAATAATTGTTGCAAAAATAAATATTAAATAAAGGATTGGAAAAGAACAAGGATAAAAAAAAAAAAAAATTTGATTTGTAATTCAAGAATAGTTACTTCAAAGTGTATGGATTGAAAAAAAACAAGATGGAGGACAAAAAAAAACAAAACCAATTCAACAAAAGACTTTTGGGAATAAAAAATTTGAACAGAAGTTTGCATTGTGAGAAAAAAAATATCAAATAATTTTTTTTTATCGATTTGATAATTAAATTATAAAAAAAAAATGCTTCTACACTAACAAAAAACAAAAATCTCATTATGCTACTATAATAATACTGTATTGAAATAGCATTAATTTATGTTTTATTAAAATGAAACATTTTAAATTAATTATTTTTTTTTTTTTACTTATTAAGAGTAATAATAATAATAATAAATTACAATCGAAAATGTATCAAGTTTCAGGACTAAAAAAAAAATTAAATAAATAAAAATAATAATAACAACATTTATCATTCAAAATAATTTCAATATAATCTACTTTTTTTTTTTTCATTTTTTTTTCATTAAAAATAATATAATTTGTTTTTTATTTTATTATATCTATAATAATAATAATTTTGTTATAATTTATAAACATTTTATATTACATTGAATTATAAAACAAAAAAAATAAAAATAAAATAAAATAAAATTATAATGATAATTAATTTAAATAAAAATTTTTCAAAATTGTAAAAATTATTTATGTATATGTATTTACAAATTTTAATTACATTTGATTGCCCAAATTTATATTAATTACATTATATTATTATTATCATTTATCAAAATGTGTTTTTTTTTCTTTTGTATCTTCCCAAAAAAACAAATCATTTTAAACAAAGTTAAAAGGAAAGTTTTTAATTTTTAATTATTGCAATTAGTAGAGTAAAAATATTTTGAGCTTTATTGTTATTATTACAAAAATATTAAGAAAAAAAATAATAATAATTATTTAAAAAGGGAAAATTAATAAAAAGAAATCAAAATAATTTTTTTTTTGTTTTCATTTGTGCTCACCTACAAACATAATCAATCAAATATTGTGCAATTCATTTTTTTTTTTTAATTAAATTAAAAAAAAACAATTTTATTCTTTGAATTTTTAAATTTTTTTCCCTCACTTTTCTCATGTCAGATACATAAAAATATTGCTACACATTAATCTAAATAATGAGGGGAAGGTGGAGGTGGGGAGGGAGAGGGGGGAATACTCTAAGCAAAGCAAGATAAAAATTAGTTTTCTTTTGGAATTACATCACTTATTAAAACTTATTAATAAATATGTAAGTAGGTCGATAATCTATAACCTTTCTCAATTTAAACAAAAAAAAATCTATAAAAACATAATTAATTATGTTATTTGAAACAAGAGGGAGAAACGTTTAAATTTTATGTATGAATGGCTTGAATCCAAAAATTTATTTCTAAATTTTAACAACTGAATCAAAATCAATTGAATTCAACATTTGCCCTGTTAAATCTCTTATATTGAAAGCTTTTCTAACATTTGCTTATAACTTTATAACTGTTGTTCAAAATAGAAAACGAATAAAATACCTGAAATGTTTATTAATATTATTATATCCTTGAATTTGTTTTGAAATAATTAAATGGAATCCAAATTTAGATATTGGAATATGCTCAAGATAAAATATGACAGATTGTTATAAATATTTTTATGAAATAAATCTAAAATCAAGAATGTGAGCTGAATAATGTCGAAAAAAGAATTTTGAGTTAAAAGAGAATAAGAAGAAAATATTAATAAATAAAACTCTCATGTTTCTGGAAGACTATTTTTATAAGGTCTTACTTTATTTAACCTTTAATTAATTTGTTTTTTTTTTGCTATACTAGAAGCTGAAATTTAATTTTTTTATTTAGAAAATAAAAATTTTTATGTTGCCTTAATGAATATGAGTGCAGCCGATTTCAGTCAGTCTTTATTCATAAACTATGGTGTGGTCATGTCTGTATTCCAATTAATAAAACTTTTATATTGCAATTCCCCTAGATGAGCAAATCTTTCCTCAAACTGAGGATCCTTACCCTTTAGCTTATTAAATCTTTGGTACATTAATTTTTCAGCAAAATAATAGAGTTCAATATCTAACGCATTTAATCTTCGGACGGTTTCTAATTGATCAGCTCGAAGCTTTGGTAAGGTTTGACTTGATTGTGTCGTGTTATTTTGTTCAAATGGCACTGAGAACCTGAGATTAAATGTTTCTTCAAAAACATATTGGCCTACCTGGAAAAAAAAAAAAAAAAAAAAAAAATTTTTATTTTAAAAATATATATATTTATAAACAGGAAATGGTATTGTAAATTTTTTTTTTAATTACTTACTTTTTGGTGCTCTGTAAGACCGAAAAAAGCCATGGCTGCCAAATTTCGCTTGGCACTCGCCAGCAACACTCTATCTCTTTCCTCTTTATGCATATATGATGTGTTATAACATCCGACTAGAGCTAGATCTGCTATCATTCTAGTTTGTCTATTAGCAGCCAAATTATAAGGACAAGCTGTGAATTCATCCAATGAAACACTGTTCCATGAAACTCCAGCATAACATGGAGGAAGTTCCTCTGCAGTAGGTGTTCTACCTCCACACCAATGCCTAGACCCTTGCCATGTAGCTCCTCTTTGAACATGTCTGAATTCTGATAAATATCTACTAATGGGATGTCTCAAAAGTGTGATGTAAAAATATCTGAATGAAAAATTTCATAATAAAATAGCAAGCAATAAAATAAATAATTTACAAGTAGTCTTATTAAAAAAATATTACCTTCTCTTCACTTGCTCTCCTTCATTTTTATCCATTTCAATATCTACACAGGCTGATAATTCAGTCCAATCTGCATGCAAACCACATTTCCAACCCGTAGTATATCGGCTGAACAGCCAACTTTCGTTTCTATTAGGTCTAAAACAATCGCACCGTTTTCGTTTTCGTTGACAACTGCAAGGTCTTTGTAAATCTAAATCCCGCACTAAATGCTTTCCGAACGATGTCCCTCCAGTTTTTTGAATGTGTAAAAACACCATCACGTCATGACCGTTCATATCAAACCTAAAGTTTTCATTTAAAACATCGTCGTAACTTAAACCACCTCCGATATTCGAATTAAGTCCCCTCATTGAATTTGTTAGATATGTTAATTGTCGACCTATGTTATCATCAAGGGGATGTCTATAATCTCGCTGAGAAAAACTGTGATCACCGCGATTAATTATATGAGAACTTAAAGCGCATACTTGCTCTGGGCAGAAATAACCGAAATAAATTATTCCCATTAATGTTAAAACAACGCATCCGACAGCTATGTTCCTTAATTTACTCTTTGATTTTGTTTCCATTTTTATTTCGTATGTCACCGATTCCCGAAGTAAAACAGCAAATTCGGAATCGAATACCTGAACTTCCACGCTTTTTTTGGCCATTTCTTAATGAGAAAATGGTCCAATTTTCTACATTAGCTTGCATATGTTTTTGTTATAATCTCTGCCATTTTGTTACTAAGGCATCCATCGTTAGGAATACCAACAAAACAACTGACCTGAGATTAAGATTAATTTTCATGTAGACAAATGAACGATTATTCCGTGCGCAGGCTTAACGGCAACTGTTTGTGTCTCTATAAAATTAAGTAAAGAATTTTAACATGTAATTTTTTAACAATTAAGCTAAAATTACTATCAATTTCATATGACAATTAAAAAATACTCTTCTGATTAATTAAATTTTTCTTAAAGTATACATAACCTTACCTTGTTAAGTTTGATTTCGGTTAAAATCTGATAATACATTTCTTCAATAAAATAAAATTGATTAAATTTAATTTATTATTAATACTTCATTTTAAAAAAATTATCAATTCGCACATCAATCACGTACTAGTATCAATTTTATTATTTACATTTTGTTTTAAAAAAGCATTAAAAATCGGTACCCAATCTTTAAAATGAGATAATAATAATAAAGTGTACTTTGGGTCTAAATTATACATTTCCAATATTAATTTTAAAATATGATTTTTAACATTAGTTTTTACATTATTGTTTAAAAAATCAGGTGAAATTATTAACAGGGACACGAGATGGTGTAAATTTTTCGGATAAAGGCACAAAATTTTTTTATTTTTTTTACATCTGCATATGACTGCTTGACCAAAATAAGAAGTAATTTGTAAAAATTCCCTGTTTTCTTTATAATTTTCAAAAAAATTATAAAAAATAGGTGTTAAAAGTTGAAAAACTTGTGGAATTTTTGCACATACTTTAATATAATAATCACTCACTCTTTGATTTTTGAGCCAACAATAAACAATATTATTAAAAACAAAATTTGATGATTGTAGCAAAGTTTTTAAAATAATAATATGAATTACATTATTTTTTTCAAACTGATCCCATGTGTATTGAATTATTTTTTTGAATTCTACACTATTAATTTCTTTTATTTTTAAAAGGATTAGATTTAATTGCTGACAAATATTTTCATCTGTATGCTTATCACGGCTGATATAATTAACAAGTGAAATTCCATAATGTAATAATAAATTATAATTAAATGCATTTATATTTGCATTTAAAAAATTTTCATCCCAAGATAAAAGTAAATTTAATTTTAAATAACCAAGATTATTTTTGTATTGCATCCTAATATTTTTTATGCACTGAATTAGTGTATCACCTTTCAAATCAATTATTTTAAAGCTGTCTTCAGATGAATTCATTTTTTTGCTTACTCAATAATTTTTATTATTATAAAAAAAAAACTCATAAAACACTTAATATTAGAAACAATTTTTAAAAAAATTAATACTTAATAAAAATAATGTACACCAAGATTAACAACAGTAAGTTTTACTGAAAAAAAAGCCCGCCAAATTGTTTAGAAGTTGCCAATGTAAACATGAAAAATTAAAAAATATCTACACTAATTCAAAAAGTAAAAAAAACTTATAATTAAACAATAATGTATTATGTACGTCAAATTTATTATTAATTTTTTGTAAGATTTTAAAATTAATTTAAGTTAATTAACATAATACTTAAATTATTTAGTTAGAAAAAAAGTTTTTATAAGGTTGGCAATCATGATAAAAACCGGGTTCTATATTTGTAAAGTTTAAATATTAAAAGTTAAAAAATTCATTTCTTGTTTTAAAGAAAAACCAGTAAGATTTAAGAATATTATAGTGTAAAAGGTGAATGTGTTAGTGTTAAATGATTTTATGTATATAAAGTATGTTCTCAATTTTGGTTGCCACTGACAGTCATTTAGGGTACGAAGAATCAAACCCTGTAATAGGTGATGACAGTTTTGTAACTTTTGAAGAAATTTTAATAAAAGCGGTTGAACAAGATGTAAGATATCTCCAATTCTAAAACAATTCAATTTTTCAACTTTACAACAGCTTTGTTTTTTTTTGTTTTTAGGTTGATTTCATTCTTTTAGGAGGTGATTTATTTCATCACAATAATCCTACCCAAAAATGTATGAACAAATGTATGGAAATGTTAAGACGATATACATTAGGAGACAAACCTGTGTATTTTGAGCTTCTTTCTAATGCTTCTAAAGTCTTCAGCAGTACAGTTTCTCAAACTACCAATTACTTGGATGGCAATATTAATGTTTCCATACCTGTGTTTAGCATTCATGGAAATCATGATGATCCTAGCGGAATGGGTAGATAAACATTACATTTTTTTTTTTTTGTCAATCTCGATTAACTTTATAAGAATTTGAACTTATATATAAGTGGTTTACAACCTTAGTTAATAAAATTGTTTGTCATAGTTATTTAATATGTAGTCGATTGCTGTAATAGGTATTTAAAAAAAAAATTTTTTCTCTTATTTAAGGACATTTCAGTGCATTGGATACATTATCATCAGCTGGTTTGGTGAATTATTTTGGAAAATCAACAGATCTTTTGAAAATCACTATTAATCCTATTCTGCTGAGAAAAGGGAAAACTAAAATTGCTCTTTATGGTTTAAGCCATATAAAAGATGATCGATTGTGTAGATTATTCATGGATAATATGGTAACATTTACAAGACCAGAAGTTGATCCAGATAGTTGGTTTAATATATTAATTCTACATCAGAACAGAGTTGATAGAGGACCCAAAAGATATATTTCAGAATCCTACATTCCAGAATTTATAGATTTACTCATTTGGGGTCATGAACATGATTGTTTGATTGAACCGTATAAAAATGTTGAAAAGGGTTTTTTCGTAATACAACCTGGAAGTTCAGTACCCACATCATTATCAGAAGGAGAAGCTTTGCCTAAACACGTGGCCGTTTTAAAAATTTATGAAAAAAAAATGAAAATTTTACCTCTTAAGTTAAACACAGTTAGACCATTTGTTTGGAGAACAGAAAAATTATGGGAAATTGTTGTTAGTTCTGAAAACAGAGAAGTAAAATCGGAAGAAATTAAAACTCACTGCATGCAAATCGTTGAAGAAATGATTAGAGAATCAAACGAATTAAAAACGGGACATCCGAATCAACCGAAATTACCATTAATTCGTTTACGTTGTGAATACTCTGATGAAACTCAACTTTTCAACGTCGTTAAATTTGGACAACTTTTTCAAGGAAGAGTTGCTAATCCTAATTCGGAAATAGTTAGATTAAAAAGAAATTTTATTAAGGCGGTTAAAAAAGAAAAATTTGGAGATTTGGCTAGGTTAAATGAATTATATAAAGACAACATGGAAGAAGCTCATAATTTTACTGCTTGTGTAAATCACATTGTTCGAGACTATTTTACTAATCACGAGGAAGCCAAAATGTTGATTCTTAGAGTTCCAGGTTAATGAAATATTACTTTTACATAAATAAGAATACTTATTGCAAAAAAAATTAATAATAATAATAATTTTAGATATGGGAGCTGCAGTAGAAAAATTTATAGATAAAGATGACGTGTTTGCCATTGAAGAATTGGTTGATCACAGATTTGAAAAAATAATAAAAGAATTAAAAGAACAAAAAGTTAATGGGGATGAAACTAATTTGACTGAATTATTTGAAAGATTGAGAGATGAAGATGAGAAATTGAATACGAAAAATGAAAAAGATTTTCAAAAACAATTTAATAGTGTTAGATCAAAAGAAACTTCACATTCCGGTTTGTAATTTTTTTAACGTCATAATTAACGGTTGTAAACGTTAATAAAAAAAAATTTCTTTTTTTTTTTTTAAGATAAACAAGAAGAAATTGTAATTGAAAGCGATTCAGATGATATGTTTAAAAATTATAATAAAAGAAAACAAACTTCGGAGCGCACAACCGTGTCTGATTCGGGTAAAAGACAAAAAAATTATTATTATTATTATTATTATTATGAATTATTAAAATTATTTTAAATAATTTATTTATAATTTTTAGATACCGATGAATACGATGTTGGCGAAAGCATCCGTCGATCAAATATATTTGAAAAAAATAAAAATTCTATTCAACACGGTTAGTGATTTTCATGTTTTTTATGTATTTAAAATTTTAAACGGTTAATTAATTTAATTTTCATTTATTTAGAAGAAAATACAAGAAAATCTCCCAGGGGAAGAGGTCGAGGAAGAGGACGAGGACGGGGGCGGGGTCGTGGAACCAAAGAAAAAATTTTGTCTCATGATACTGATGAAAAAAACAAAAAAGTTTCGAAAACGTCCAATTCATTTTTTTTCGATGATGATGATGATGATGATTCTGACTAAACGGGTTTTCAAATGTATAAAATTATCATATAATGTATAAAGAAATGTATGTGTATATACTCACGTATTAATTATAATTAAATATATTTATGTATATTTAAATTTATTTATTTGATTCGAATCAATTTTTTTACCATTAAATTAAGAAATTACATTTAAATATTCAAAAAGTGGAAAAAATTAATTTATTTAAATTCGTACTTCGTACCCGCTTAAATTATTCAATTCCTTACGGGTCAAAGTTCAGTAGAAATTAATTATTAATAATAATAATAAAATTTAATTTATTGCTTATTTATCCTTGACGTTTTCATTTTCACATTCACACAATTAATAATCCCACCACACAAAATGATAAAAAAAAAAGGTGTGAAATATTTTAATAAAAAATATAAAATAATTATAAATTATTTAAATAATTTAATTTGAAAAAACATTTTTTTTTTTCTAATGATAAAAAAATATTTTTAAAACTTTTTTTTTTTTATTTTAGACACTAAAACAATAATGTATTTTATAAAATATTTTTAACAATTCTAACAAGATATAATAATATGTATATATATATATATATATATAATTTTTTTCTTTTTTTAAATACATTTTGCAACATCAACTTACATTTTTTTTTTTTTTTTTAATTGTAGCGCCCTTTAATAATTAAAAACTTTTATTAAAATTAAAATATATATATATATATAAATTCACTTTCTCAATAATTATTTTCAAAAAAAAAAAAAAAAAAAAAAATCATCACTTTTCTGTTGAATACTGCATAAAAACAAATGAAGCCTTATTATTTAATAAATAAATAAACGCCATTTTACTTTTTTTTACCCCCTTGACACGTGTACAACGGGTGCATAATGCATATTTATACTTATCAACTGTAATTATTGGGATTTTTTTGAAAAAGTTTGAATGACTTGGTTTTTTATTAGGAATGAGGTAATGATAACGATATCTGATCGTCGGTTTCTGTTTCTGGAAAAAAAAAAAAAAAAAAAAAAAAAAAAAAAAGGTATATGGAATTATGTTAATTTTTTTTTTTTTTTTTTTTAAAGAGAACAAAGGTCGTGTTCGGTCCTATACCGCGCTCAACTTTAACAAACCTCAACAAACAAACAAACAAGCAAAAAAAAAAAAAAAAATTAAAAACGAAGCTAACTTGAATAATTTGATTCGTAGGCTTTGCTCACGGCTTTCGGTATAAATTCTTGAGTTTTTGATTTTATCGATATTCCCAAAAGTTCCGGACATAATATTTTCCCCTTTTCAATGTCTTTCACGTGATTCAATAAATCGTAATTGATTTTCTCACTTATATTCGAATCTTTCCTTTAAAAAACAAAAAACAAAAAAAACTTTTAATCTAACCGTTAAATAAATATAAAAGGATAAAAATTTAAATTTTAATTACTTATAATCCGGATGATTGGCTACGTAATCTCTCAAATAGGCCGCCGTGGTTTTCAATTCTCCCGAAGCTCTTCTTTGTATTAATTTTAAATATTGTTGAATTGTGCAATGAGTATCCGCATCGACGTCCATGCCACTCAAATAACCGTTAATTAATGGTATCAACCCGGGGAAAACACCTTCCTGAAAATACATAAAAAAAAAAAAATTAATAAAATAATTTTTTTACACGTTTCCACGCATTATCAACTTACCTTTCCGTTAATTATGTGATTAATAGACATGGGTTGATAAATATCTCCGCTTGTGTTTTTACAACGGGATGCTGCTTCCGGTGGTGACACGCACGTTAAAATATCCTTTCGAAACCAAAAAAGTTGTTCTCTTAATGCGTTTCTCCGTTGAGCTTTTTGCATATTTTCATCTACCTGAAAAATTCAAATGTTTAAACGTCGTCGTCGTCGTCGGGATGATAATGATAATTATGTAATAATTTCAAGTCGTTACGTTATTACCTTACTTATGGGAATAATAAAATTTAATTGATAAGAAAGAATGACGCGAGTGAGGAGTACGACGAAACAAACAATGGCCGCATTTTCCATATCCGTTATTTGTACTTCGCAAGGTCTGAATTCAACACGCCAACCGATTGAAGAATTAAATGGCGGCGGTTTAAATCTCATAGTTTGCCAATTCGTCGATTGAATATTCTAGAAAAAACAAACAAAAATCACGTAATAAATTTTTTTTTAAAATTATAAAAATTTGGATTAAAAAAAAAAAAAAAAAAAAAAAAAAAAAAGAGAAAGAGAAAAAAACCTCAAAGTGATCGGAATCCTCATTGTCGTTTTGATGAATTCTTTCGCTAAACAAAGAAACGGTATCTCGTATAAATAAATGAGCAATATGTTGAGCCAAAAGATCATCTATATCAGCATCCCTTAATCTTTTATATATGGCTTCATCATATATTAGAGGTACATCGTTATAACTGAAATCAATTTGTTTTTTTTTTTTTTTAAAAAAATAATTCAAATAATGTTTACATAAAATAAATATCTTCTTACTGTCTTCCATGTTCGGATAAGTACGAATCGATTGAATCATATCTCGATTTGGGAATGACAAAACGATTATTTTTAAGCGGTACCAAACCTCGTTCTTCGGGAGTTCGACAATCGACCGATTCGGAAATGACGTTCCAACGACAATCTACGTCACATATTTTCCCTCTGTAAAACGGTGAGGCGGCCGTGAGAGCAAGCTAAAAACGATAATTTCACAATTTTTTTTTTTTTTTTAATGGCGATAATACGGTTGAAAAAAAGGGTTTTTCAACAAGTACCATAATGGGACAAAGAGGAGTCAGCTGATCATACAGTGTTCTCGCTTCTTGAATGTTACATGCTTGAAAAGTTAACTGAAGACAACAACAACCCATTCCGAATCCCATGGCATCCATATAAACGTGATCTGGAAGGGCTGCTTTTGCACTTTCTCCATCATCTCCGAGATCTTCGAAATCTTCCACGTACGGCGATGGCGTATTTTCATCTTTATAAACTGAAAATAAAAAAAGTCACAAAAACATTATAAAATATCAAGGTTATTCTTAATGAAAATTTTGCCATTGTTTTTGAAAGGTAATTAAGAAGGTTTTTTATACCAGGCATGTTTATAGCAATTTTTTCCGTTCTCCTCATCCGAATGTTTCTAGTTAATGTTTTAAATCTTGGATGACCCGGATAAATGGCTCCGTCCGGAAAAAATAATGATTTTGAAGCTCCATCTTTGGGAGAAGTCTTCTGAGAAGGATCAGTAAAATCTGGACAACCTAATCTGTAAAAGAAAAAAAAAGAAAAAAATTAAATAATTATACATAAATTATGGTTCGCGACAGAGGACCGCATACGTTTATATCCAACAGACTGATAACAGATTATTTTTATTTTTTTTTTTTAACTAGTGAACTTAAGACATTTTACCTAAAAATTTCTGATTAATAATTCTATTTGTCATTTATTTTTAGAGTATGTATTTTTTTTTCACGTATTTATTATTTTGAATTACCACCAAGTGGTAAATAGATATCAAATCCGTTTTTGACTCAAAAAACACTGAAATAAAAAAATAAAACACGTGATAAAATGTACTGAAAAAAAAAACTATAATAATCGGGGCATGGACATTGCATTCTTAATTAATATCCTTAATTAAACAATTAAAATTAATATTTATTAATAAAAAAATATGGCTTACAGGCCATCAAATAAGTTTTCAAAACAAACTGGATAACAAAAAACATGTTGTGGAAATTGTTGTTGTTGTTGAAATCTTCAAAAAAAATTTTTCTTGTTGTTCTTCGTAAAAAAAAAAAAAAAAAAAAAAATTAAATAAATGGTATTCCGTTTTTATAAACTGTCTAAATAATTTATTATTATCGTTTTATAAATTAATGTTATTAACGTAAGTAAAAATTAAAAATGATTTATTAAATACGACTTAAATGAAATAAATAAATACACATTTTTACCTCGGAAAACTAGTAATAGTCATAAGTACTTCTCCAGGCTTGAGAAAAGTACTCGCTTCTTCTCTTCTCAATTTCATGTTTGTTTCAACGGTGTTGAAAAATGAAAGGAGACCTCCATAGGGTTTTCCAGGTGTTCCTTCAATCATGTAGGCTGCATATTCGGGACGCCATAGAGATTTAACAGACCTGTAAAAAAAAAAAAAAAAACAATTTTTTTAGTATTTAAAGGAAAAGTTAAAATCATGGAATGAATGAAAATAATTCAACGTACTCGGGATCGTTTTTTTCAGGTTCTTGAAGAATTGGTAAAATTTCTTGGGCTCTTAGGGAAAGTCTAGCAGTTTTTCGTTCGTGATCAAATTTTACTATCATGTATTCTACCTGGAAAAAAAAAAAAAAAACCCAAATAATATCTATTTTAATATAATAATTAAAAGGTGGAGCTAATTAAAAAAGACTCTAATAAAACATTAATAAAATTATCATTTGTTTAATGTGAAAATGTACATTTAAGTAAGAAAAAACAAGTTTTTTTTTTTTTTTTTTTTTTTTTTATCTTCTCATTGGAATATAAATATTTTTTTAAATGTTGATCAAATAAAACATTGATTGTTCTTGCAAAAAAAATTAACTTGATTATAAATGATTACGCAATCAAAAAATAATGTAGACAACAAATAAAAAAAAAATATATATTTATTTATGATAACAGGTATGTGTGTCATAATAAAATGCATAAAGTGTTTATCATGTTTAATGTTCATTTAAAATACCTATTAACCTATTAACAAAAAAAAATTACAAGATGTCTTCTTCTTCTTCTTCTCCTTTTTTTTTTTTTTTTTATATTAAAATTTACGTTTTCGACCGAGAATGCCATTTAATAATAATAATAATTTATATAATATTTTGTTTTTTTTTTTTTTAATGACCTTTCTCGTGGCAATGATGGAATTTTAGCAAACCCTGAAGGTGTTTTTATTATATTATGCCTAATTTTACCAAGTTTAAAAAATTCCTAAAAAAAAAAAACTTGTTTATATTTAATATTTAAAAATAAATCTTATGTACATACATATTATTTATTACAATCGATTGAATTTTAATTTTATATTAAATTTTATTTTTTTTTAAAAAAGTCGTTTTAATAAATTATAAATTTTATAATTTGTTTTTATGTTGATAATGATATTTATTAACCACTTAAAATATATTTTATACAATTGATAACATGTTTTTATTCTTGGGAATGTTAAATACAACCTAAATAAATAAATAAATATAATTTTTTTTAAAAATTATTGATGTATTCGAATTGTATTCATTTATCGATAATTTTAAATATTTTTTAATGTGTTACCATTAGTAACGAAAAAAAAAAAAAAAATTGCAAGAATAAAAAAAAAAAAAAAGATAAAATATTCATTATGAGGAAATAAGGTATATTGCATTACACTTCTATTAATTTTTTTAGATAAACAAGGCTTGTTATAATTTCTTGACGTTTAATCAATTTTAATATTGGGTTACATGCATTGCTAAAAAAATTATTTGCAATTTATGTATCAATATAATATATCAATTGTATGAAAAAAAAATAAATTACTATTATTTACTCATTCATGTAATATTGACAAGCATACAATAATTTATAAAAAGTGCTATGAATAAAAAAAATTTGCTTACCTCATCCCCCCATTTTAAAAAATCCCCTTGACGATCTTTAAGTTTGTGATATAAATTAATAAATTGTGTAATCCCGTGTTCTCTAACATGATCTGCCAAATCTCGAGTTTCTTCCCAAGTAAGAGGACTCCCTTCTGTTAGCAACCCCATTTTAATAAATTTAACAACTGTCACAAAATTAAAATTCGACAATTTTTCAAAGACAAAAAAAAAAAATTATTATGTGATTCAAATGTGATATAAAAAAACTGTAATATCGAGAAAGAGAGAGAGAGAGAGACAGAGAGAGAGAAAAAAAATTCGCACAAAAAATTATTTTAAATAATTAACGATTTGAATAAAATTAAGAAAAACTAAGCGGAAATAAACAAAATCTGTTCACATTTGCGTCGTCATTACAATTTTTAAAATGATTCATTTAGCATTTAATGTAAATAATAAGTATGAACCACTAACTGAAACTTGTACTGCGTTTACAAAAGACTACTCCGTGCCTTCTTATAATTTACAAAATTACGTGAATTCAAAGACTTTTGTCGCAATTTTAAAATTTCGACAAATTTTTTGAAATTGAAAACAATTTTTCAACTGAATTTAAAAAAAAATACTCATACTGGCTTGGTATAGAGACTTGTAACGAATCAAAAATAAAAAATTAAATTAAAACAGTATCTAAAAAAAAAAAAAAAAAAAAATACACGAAATAAATGAATTCAAACTGAAATTTTTAAAGACGTAAAATAAATGTTTAAAACGAAAGTTTGATAAAAAATATAACTTTTTTAAATAAATAATTTTAATTTTAAAGATAAAAATTACCATTAAGTTAAAAATGAATGTAAAATGAATTTATTTTTGGCACATAAATTTTTATTATAAATAAATTAATTATATAAAACATAGTACGTTTCCTTCACACATAAATTAATTATAAAAATTTTATAAATCTGAAATATAAAAGACTATAAAAGACTAAGAAATCACAAAAATCCTTATAAAAATTAAATAATAAAACTTAAAAAAACACTTAATTATATATGAGTACAATATCTATTTAAATAATTTCATCACAAATGTTATTAAATAAATCTTCAAATATCCAAAAAACAATGGAATAACCAGGTAGACTAAGTGGAACTTTTGCTTTTTCAGGTTTATTGAATAAATTATGAATTGAATTTCGATCGTAGACAAGCTCTTTACCATTGAGGAAAATCAGTCTAAAATAAAATAATTTTTTTAAATTAATTTTTTTAAACATAAAAAATAAGTAACAGGAAAAAAAAAAAGAAAAACAATTCTTACTTCGATGTTAAATTGTTTTTTCCAGGTGTAAAGAGAAAAGAATAAATTGGATATTTAATTTTCATGCCCAATATTAAAATAATTTTTTCCGTTTTATTGGATAGATTCATACCGAAGATAACAATTTTTCCTAATTTCTAATTACAAAAAAAACCAAAAATTAAAAATTAAATAAAAATCAACTAATCATTTTAAGATTTTAAAATAATTTACCCTGAATTTGGGAGATACACAGTGACAATAAAATCTCAATGATTTGACTTTTTCTTTTTCTTCATTTCTTCCATATGTTATATTGAGAACGGTATTTCCGACTAAATTTTTGTAAAAATATGAAATCCAAAAATCCTAGATAAATTATTATATTATATATGTATAGATGCATAAAATAAATGTTAAAAAAGGCTATTTAATAAATTAAAAAATGAATTACCGGAGTTGGCAAAAACTTTTTATTAATCAAAGCATAATTTCCATCGAGCAAACTCTGACGAATTACAACCTTCATACCTAACTTGGCAGAAATTCCTAATTTGTCCAACCACATAAATGCAGCTACAAATCTATCTGAAAGTCCAGGAGCACCTCCTCCATAGGCTGAACTTGTTTCACCTATAAAAAGTTTTTTTTAAAACTTATTTCTATATATTTGTGTATTTCAGACTAAAAATCAAATTTCAGATGCATTTTTAAAATTTTATTTTGTTAACTTATTGTATAATGTAAGTAAAACTTTAAAAAATTACTTTCTGGTTTGCTCAGATTTTAAAAATATCATAAATTAAAACTCTTGCTAAGCTTTTACTTACTGATCCATATTGGAAGATCTTCTGAGAATGATCGAACAACTTTTTTTATTTCATTGATTTGATGAGGTAAATAATTCAAAATTTTAGGGTTTATAAAATCATCAAGAGAAGTATTTTTGCCATTTACATAATATCTTGAAAATATCCAAATATGAATTTAAATTTTTAAAAGTATTATGTAAAATGAAAAGAAATATCTTACTGATGCCATGATGCTGCACTAATACTTTTTGTGTGAGAAAGAAATTCCTTTAAATAATTTAAAGATGAATATTCCAAATGCTTTGGTCTTGTCACATCAGGTCCTATTAATAAAGATGTTTTATAAGATTTAAAGGAATTTAAAAGTTTTCTCAAGACATTAAAATCCTTAGCCAATTCAGTTCCCGATATGGATACATTAAAAACATGTTTAAAAGAATTAGGTTCATTTCCTAATTGAAAATCTAATTTGTATTTGTTTCTTTCTGAAAACTGTAGCAAAGTTAGTGCATTTGAATAATTCCAGCCATTGTCGCCTCTCAACATAACATTTAAATCAAATATTAAGTTCAATTTTGAATTTGAAACAAACTTATTTATTTTCCTCCAATCATTTTCTAAAATAAAGAAAATTTTATTTTTATAACATTCAAAAACTATGAAAAAACTGTCAACTTGATAAAATCAATGTTTATTTCAAATTTTTACAAAATAATTTTAATTTAAAACTTTAACTCAAGTTATTTACGTGTAATTTCTATTAATTGATGTTCAGACAGAATATCAACACAATCTGTATTGTTATTTGAATCGAAAGCATTTTCCTGAATTTTAAAAATTACTCTGTCTGCATCTGTTCCTCCTATTCGAAGATAAGCCGGAGAAAGCAAACTAGAAAGTTCTTCAAGTTTTTTCCACTCACTGAAAAGATAAAAATTATTAATTCAAATTATTTAAAAATATCAATTTTTGTTATTTGAAAAAAAAAAAAAAATTTTTTACTCATTGGTTAATTTCTTGAATAAACATTTAAAAAAAGAAGTATCAAGGGCTACGCTCAAAAACTTTTCATCCGTTTTAAATAAAACTTTACTGCCGTCAATATTAATAAATAAGAAGACGTTATTTTCGGAAAATGTATACTGTTCCTTAAAAATAAAAAGTATAAAACACGACACAAAACCTGTAATTATGAAGGATATTATTTTGAAATACCGTTTCATCTGAAATAAAGAAAAAATAAAAACGGTTCCTGCTAAAAATTTAATTTAAATGAGTTTAAAAAATATATATGCGCAAACTTTGAAATATCCCTAAACAATTAAAATTATTTAGTAAAATAAATTAAAAATTAAATTGAAATTAATTCAAAGCAATACCGCTTTATTTACCGCCATTTTAATTAAATTAAATTTTTAAAAAAAACTTATATAGGTTTGTTAAGTATGAGCCATTGATTACAGCCTTCTATTATCGTAGGCTACTCTAAAGTTTCTTAGTTTGATGGAAAATGGCGGATAAATGTACAACAAGCATATAATTATTTGTTAGTTTTAAACTTATTGCTAATTAATTAATTTTAAACGATGACAGAATCTGTGCAAGAAAGTAAGTATTTTATTTAAATTAGATATATATTTATTTAAATATTTTTATTATTTTATCACATTTTGTTTAAAAAATTAAACAGTTAGCAATAAATTAGTCAAAAGGTTTGTAAGAAAAAAATATACATAAATTTTAGTTTTTACTTTTAAGGCATCTCTTTACCGAGTATTAATCCTAATAAAAAAATAAGCAAATGTCATTAAAGAAATAGCATTAATTTTAAAGTGTGACATCAAAATTATTTCGTTTATTTAATTATATATTTGTCCTTATTTGTTTTACTTATAGGGCTTAAGTTAAAAAGAACAGTTCTAGATACTTGGTCTATAAAAGAAAAGCTAAGTTTAGCTTCGTTGGTTTTACGAAGCGGTGATCAAAATTGGTCATGTGTTAGTAGAAATATAAGAATATTTGCAGAGCCAAACAGACCTCCAGACTGGTTTTCTCCCAAAAATTGTGCTCAACAGTATGCAAGTTTACTTGAGAATGTTGAAACACCCAAGAGAAAGAAAAGGGTAGCTGGTTCAAATGAAAAATCAGAGGTTGAAACTCCTGGTGAAAGCATAGTTAGAAAATTAAAAACAGATAGGATAGAGGAATTAAAAAAAAAAATGGAAGAAATTAAAATGGAGTATTTAAAAGTAAAGGAATCAAGTAATGCTATAATTTCTGGTAAACCTGATGTTAAATTACCAGTATTACTTCAGGAAATTGAGGAGTGAGTTCAAATTTTTGATTCAAATTAAAAAAATATTAGGTCTGATAAAATTAATTGAATGCATGTTTTCATTTTTAACCTTTTTTCTCAATTAATAAGTTTAAAATGCAATCAGCAAACATAAAACTTTTAATTTAACACAATGCTTATTCTATAAACATTTTTTTTTTTTTTTTACTAGTGAAAAAAATAAAAAAGAATTAGAAAAAGAAGCCCATATAAAATGGTTAAAGGAAAGAGAAGAGAGAAAAATAGAGTTAGAAAGGGCTTGGAAACCGGGATCTAGATTAATGAACATCAGAAGAGCTTCCAGTATATCGGAACCAAGCAGTGAAGCAGACAGTCCTTTAAGTGAACCCTTAAATGTGGATGTTCCCGAAGAATCCGCAATGGCAAAACCAACTCCAACCTCTCCTTTGCTCACCAGTCTTTTAAAATCACCTTCTACTGCATCTCAGCCATCAACTACTTCCTCAATATTACATTCAGCCATAACATCTCCTCACAGAGGTTCATCATCGCCAACCATAGCTAGTTTACTTAGCTCTTCTCCAGGTAAAAAAGGTTTTTTTCATGCAATTAAATTTATTTTTTGAAAATGTTTTAATTTACCATTGTATAATTTGTGTGTTAAATTTAAATTTAATCATGTTTAAACCTCAATTTAAATATCTTGTGACAATTAGTTATTTGGTACTTTGAATTTGGTTGTAATTTACACAGATAAACTCGTTTAAAATTAATGGCAGTTTAGTCAGATATATTTTATTTTCAAATTACAAAACAAACAAAACATAAAACATTTTTAAAAGATATATTTAATTATTATAAAGTTTTACATTTAAAATTAATTAAAATGTAGCCACTTTCGTGTATTAGGACAATTTTTCATGGTTGCATGTATATTATTCGGCTTTATATTTTTGAAAAATATTTTTTGTCGTTATTTAACATTCAAGATTTTTATCAATTTTTTAGGTTTACCTGGTAATTTTTTAATGCCGCCATCAAATGTTTCATCAAATTTAAAAAATTTAGTGTCAAATGCTATTGCTAATTCTTTTAGCGATGAGCATAAAATTCTTCCTTCTTCACCTTCACAAGGTAAGGTTTTTAATCGAAATTATTTTCTTAGCTTGGAATTTTTTATTAATAAAATTTCACCTCTTTTTAATTTTAATTATTTTTTTTTAAATTTATTTATTAATTTACATATATGTTGTTGTTTTTACTTATTTATTTTTTTTTAAGTAAGTAATTTCAAATATCTAATATTTTAACTTATAATAAATTTACCATTAGGTGTAAAGCAAAATAATGGAAGGTTTCATGAAATCGAATATTACCTATTTACTTTCTTAATATTTATTTATTTAAAGTTGCTGCTTTACATATAAAGTGTTCTTAAAATCAGGAATTCTTCATTCATATATTTAAAAATTTAAATAACTTGAAATAAATGTAAACATTTATTTTCAAAACAAGGGAAAACTTTGTTTTTTTTTTTTTTTTTTTCTCTCTCTCTCTCTCTCTTTCATTATCACAAGTGTTTATTTTCTTTTATAAAAAAAAAAAAAAAAAAAAAAAAAAAAATTTTAAATAAAATACAATATTGTTTTCTTTTATTTTACTATATAGTATTATCTGTGTTGTGCTTTAAGGTGCCCCAACTTTATCAATGTTGCTTGAGTTGCCTCCCTCGTTACCTGGCAAACCTTTGCCGATGCTGAAATCGCAGCCTTCTTCACCACCTCCTTACTCAGGTTAGGTTTGTTTTTTGTTTTTTTTTTTTTTTTTTTTTTTATTTATTTATTTCTCTTTTCTTTTTATTTACTCATGATCTATAATTTTGTACGGTTTGGTGAAAAGAAAGATTAAGGTTAAGGCTCGTTTCTGCAAAAAAAAAATAAAATCATCCTTTATTATTAGTAGATAGGTTCTATGATAACATTTGGCATGATAATAATAGCTTGTGATTAACATTTTATTACATATATTTATTTAACCCATTTTATTAATAATAATAATAATAATTTTAATTTTCCTTTATAGATGAAATTAATGTTAAAAATATTTTTTATTTGTTTTAAAACTTATTATTTGTATTAATTTTAATATGTTAATGAATTTAAGCTTAAAAATTAGGGGAGTTTTTTCTTAACAGTTTAGTTGCTTTGTTAAGTATAACTAATTATAGTAATTATTTATTTTGGAATAAATATATATATAAAATAAATCACCTAGTGGTTGTGGTCCTTTATACCTATAAAATTTAGCATGTACCTGTATGATGACAGTAAAATTTATAAATTTTTAAAGGGTTTAGTGAGTGATTTCTTTTATTCTACTTATATAAAAAAAACTAATTTAATTTATTATTTTTCAGAACATTTAGGTCCTCCTCCGCCTTATTCTCAAGCTACAGAATACCTACAGAAACAAAGAGCAGAAGAACTGGCTGCACAAGCCAAGGTTTTTACAATTATTTTATTTTTATTAAAAATTAAAAAATTATAAAAAATTGTCTACATTTCCCACATGTTTTAATTTTCAGGCCAAGGCTATGGAAGATGAAATTAAAACAGAATCGTCCCCACAGACTGATAATCCTGAACCTCCTCCTCCTTCGGAATCGAATCCTTCTGTTAGTTCTAAGCGACCTAACATAAAGGGAAAAAGTTTCGAATCGTCGGTTAGTTTAGAAATTTTTTTTTAAAATGTTGAAAGTTTTAATTTATGTTATTCTTAATAAATTTTTTTTTTTAAGGAACCTTCGACGGATGAATCCTGCGGTCAAGAACCGTCGGAAAAAACTCCTTCCGTCAAAGAAAAAGAATCAAAGAGAAATTTACACAATACCTCCGATCATGATTATGTTGAAACTACAACAACTACTTCTACTACTACCACCACAACCACCACCCCTGTACCATCAAACGAAGGAAATGTTGAAAGTGATGTAGTAGTAAAGAATTCAGAAACTGATGTTTTTGAATTTGATGAATACAAAGAAGGATTTGAAAAAATTCAAATATTGACAAAAGACTCCAAAATGAGTTATTTAAAAAATAATACATCCAAAGTAGTAGTAGCAACAGCTAAAAAAGAATCGGATTGTAATAACCAAAAAAATGAAAACCTGGATGACAGTACTAAAGACAATGTCGAACTCGAAAAAAATAATTCTGTAAAAGGTCAAGAAAAAGATTTTATTTCAGTAAAACCTGAAAAAGAGGATGTAACCGAATCAACTACGACTGAAAAAGGACTTTCCCCTGCAGCAGCAGCAGCAGCAGGAAAAACCATTGAAGAACCAAAAAAAATTGATGCCGTTCCTGTTGAAGAAGAGAATATTGAAAAAAAAATCACTCCTGATTTGAACAATGTCAATGACAGCACCTCGGAAATTCAAAATCCTCCCGAAGAGGAAAAACAAGTACAAGAAGAACAAAATCAAGAAGAAGAAAAAGTTATTACGGAAAAAGAAACAACCGACTACGATATGGAGTCTCAGAAAAAAGAATCAGAGGAAAATAATAAGAAAATTAAAGTGAAAATTGAAGACAATGGAGAACACATGGAAGAAGACAAATTAGAAACGGAAGAATCAGATCCGGTCAAAGACGAAGAAGTTCCTTCTAATCTATTGGAGATGAATGTAATCAATCTTTTTTTTTTTTTAATTTTTTTTTTTTTCATCCATAAACAATTGCTTAACTTTGTAATTATTGTTCTTAGAGAACGGATAAAGCTGATTTATCAACAACGGAAGATGAAAAAAGTAACGATGCCACACCCAAAGTGTATTCCAGAAGAAGGGGAGGTCCTAGTTTTTCAGATTCGATTCCCAACAGTCCTGCACCCCTGTCGTAAGTTTTATTCAAAGGAAATATTTAAAATTTATCTATTATGTATGTATGATGAGAGAAATATAAAAAAAATTACAGGGAAGAAGAAAAAGAACACAAGGTTTGGAAAAAAGCTGTCATGTTGGTTTACACGAGGATTGCAGGACACAAATACGCTTCCCTGTTTTTAAAACCAATCAGCGACGATCACGCACCAGAATATAGTAGCATAGTTAAAAGGTAAATAAAATTATTATTTACAACACTTTTCGTTTCAAAAATATATATTTAAAATGAAAAAAAAAAAAATTTTTGTTAAAGACCCATGGATTTGAGTACGATAAAAAGAAACATTGAAATAGGAAATATTCGAACGACAGCAGAATTTCAAAGAGATGTCATGCTCATGTTTATGAATGCTCTCATGTACAACGAAAGGGATCATCACGTTTATAAAATGGCCAAGGAAATGCAAGCGGATAGTTTGGATCATTTTCAAGTTGGTTTTCATTTATTAAAAAAAAATTATTTTTTTTAACCTCGTGGTTTGTGACTTAATCAAAATTGGAAATTTTCACAGATGTTGTTGAGAGTGGCTGATGAAAATACGCCCTTGAGAAGGGAAACGAGAACTCAACAAAATTCGGATGTTAAATTTAGATCGAGTGAAAAAAATTCAAGTAAAAAAGATTTGGATAAATCCACAACGAATTCATCGGATCTTAAACCAAAAGGAAGGACGAGAAATTCACCGTGTCCCCCTGTTAGATCGAGAACTTCGGAAAAACTAACGCAGTCTGGAAGAAAACGTTCTGTCGGAGTCACTGGAGAAACTTCGAGGAAAAGACTCAAAGTCAGTTAATTGATTTTTTATTTCATTTTCGAGTTTCATTATTTTGATGTAAAAATTTTTTTTATTACAGGGAGACGATTAAGCAATGTTGCAGTGAATTATGCCAATTTTGTATTTGTTCGAGTTGTCAGAAATAGAATTAATTCAGTATGACTGGGGAGCATCCTTTAACTCCCCCCTTTTGTATTGTATTTATTACAAAAAGTTTCAATTGCTATGCATAATATTAGTTTTTAAGATTACCATCGAAGATAAAAAATTTTGTAAAATATTTTCCATTTTGAAATTGCTAACTTATTTAAGACGTTCAATATAAAAGTTATAAATTTTATTTAAAGTTTGTTTTTTAATATTTTTCCTTATCCCTTTTTTTTCTAAAGACTGTAATTAAGGTTTAAAAAACAAAAAAATATAAAAAAAATAAAGAAAAATTATTCTGTTTAAAGGCTTTTTATTAAAAAATCGTCTGGCGTGCGAAACAAATCAGCTTAATCGAACAGACCGAAGCCCCATGTCATCATCGGACTCACTTTCTTCTTTCTTTTCTTCCTTTTTGGAACCGCCACCCGCAGCCGCAGAATCAGTTTTGGCTGCAGGAGCTGCCGCTGGGGCAGCAGCAGCAGCAGCGGCTGCAAACTTCGATGGATCCTAAAAAGAAAATTAATTAATAAATAACAAATAGAAAAACGAGAAAAGGAAATTTTAAGCAATAAAAAATTTCAGACAGCAAAGTTAATTTTAAGCAACAGAAAGGATCTTTGGTGGGTTCAGCTATTTCTAGCTCCAAAGATGAACCCCTTTCCATCAGACGCACTTCGCTAATATCATCATTAATTAAAAGACAATGCAAAATTTACAAAATATGTATGAACCTTTAAGTATTCCTTGACTCTTTCAGCTTCCTTAAATTCAACATCGGAAGCAGCAGCAACTGCCAATAAGTTCTTGAATCCATTGACAATAAGATGTGGAGCAGAAGCGACAGTTGGATAACTAATGCTCAAACAAACTGATGCCAAACAAGAAACTCCCTTTGAAAATAAAAATAAAATTAATATGAATAACAGCAATAAATGTGTAATAGGCAATCTTTTATTAAATTAACTAATTAAATTTTATTGAAAAATGACTGTAGCAGAATGTGTAGAAATTCCTTAGCACCCCCCAGCCCGGGAATAACATGTTGGCGACGAGGAAATCAAAAACGCCAGCTTGTTATTCCGCAGGTCAGGAAGTAAAAATAACTTAAGAACCTAAAAAAACTTTTTCCAGGATGACATTTACCAGTGTTGTAATAATCTTAAAAAAAAAAAAAACAAAAAACAAAATAACGACTAACCTCTAAAAATTTAGCTCTAAGATCTTCTGGTTTAATATCCAAAATTTTTGGTTCAAAAATGGTACCTGAATCGTACACCATTTCCACTACTAAACCATAGTTAAAAGGAGAAATGTTCAACATGTTCAAAAGAGTAGCATCAGAAGCTCCAACTTTGTCTCCTTCTTTTAAAATGTGGACATCATTCTAATAATAATATTAAAAAAAAAAAAAAAGTTAGTTTCGCAGAAAACTATTATTACATTAATGTATAAATATAAATTTTTTCAGATAAATTTTTATCTGCAATAAATTAAGACAGGGATAACTTTTAATTCATCATTAAATCAAATTATTTGTAATAAGAATACTTGTTAATTTCAATACCTACAGTAATTTCAATTGTTCCCTTAGAAATTTTTGTTGGAATGGACAAGGCTTGAAAAAATGATGTTTTCTCTGGACCAAGACCAGTATTTTGAGCTGGAATAATGACAGCACAAGGAGCAATGGCACCATTTTTAGCTGGAGCACGAACTTTATTTTCTAAAATTTTATTTCTTACTTCTACCAAATCACCCTTGGTAAAAACAAATCCTACATTGCCTTTTATATGAGGAAGAATCCTGCAATGTGGAAAAAGAAAAAACCACTTGTAATTTTTGCATTGAATACAAAACAAAAGATGTAAAATTTAATGTTTTATTATTTTCTCAGTAATGGATGGTGGTAATACAATGGTCATCAAGACTCAGATAATACATGCTAAGCATCATCGAAAATATATATATCAAAATAAATGAATTTATTTCATAAAAATCAAAAGTTTAAAAAAAATTTTATATTTTCCTTACTTTTCATATGCTTGATTAACTTCAACGTTTCCTTTGATGGCTTTCCTCATCATGGTATTTTTTCCCATGAGGACCACGGCCGTTCCCCGAAGGGACATACGAATTTGCTGCATTTGTTTCGAGCCGACATTGTCTGCCCCAACAATAAAGCATTTAGGATATTCATCCAACAATTGCTAAAAATAATATTTAAAAAAAACTGAAAATTTGAAAAATAAGGAAAGAGTAATTTGCAACGTGCTAGCCATTACAAGCCATCATTTTTATTTTAATTTAAGTAAAATTCATGACTCTTACGATTAATTTTGTGAAGTAGTTTGCTTTCCAAGTAGCTTTGTCCTCCCTACCCATCTTTAGTGGAAATAGGGATGCTTCTAAGAAGTTTAAGGACTGAAAAAGAAATTGAACTTAACACACCACCGAAAACTTTACCAGTAAAATTAAAGTATAAAATTTTAAAATATACAAAATAAATTTAACATAGTAATAAAATTAAACAAATAAAATGTTAAATACTAATAATAAAAAATAATTTTAATGCAAGATGAATGAGATAATTAAAAATTAAATTTAACAAGATTATTACTCACCTCAGCTGAAGTTACAGGGCTAATGAGTTGTTAAGCGTTCGACCGATTCGATTTAGTATTTCCGTTCACTTTGGCGACAATGTCACAGAGTGCATATCACAAAAGTTTAATAAAAATTATATCTCTATGGAAAATTGTACGACTTAATATTTACCAAAATGTTTAGAAGTATTTTGGCCCTGTCTCTAAGAAATGGCAATATTTCTGATAAGTTTATAAGAAACATGTCATTTAAAAGTAATTTATCTTTAGATATTTTATATCCAAATAGTGTTGATCTTAAACCGTTCAAACCTCCCGATAATCCAGAAGGGAAATTTTCAGGTTTTTATTTGTTAATGATTTTTTAACGAATTTTCAAATATAATTTACTGAGTAATTAATAATTTCTGTTTAGGTTTTATACCTATAAAAGATCTTGATATAAAGTATACAAAATCTAGTGGTCCAGGAGGTCAAAATGTAAACAAAAGAGATACCAAAGTTGACATAAGATTTCATGTTAAAAGTGCTACTTGGATCAGTGAAGATACTAAACAAAAATTATTAGAGAAGGTACTTTTTGTTTTATTACTTTAGATTTTTAAAAAAGTTTTGATAGGTTTATTAGAAAAAGAATAATTAAGATGATATTTTACTTTCAAATTATACATGCCTTGTAATTAAATTGAACTTTAATATTTTATAAAAATGTATAAGTGAAATATTTTCACTAAAAATATTCTTCTAAAAGATTTTACATCTCATACATTATTTTAAAAGTATTAGTTTTTGACAAATTTTGGTTAATACAAATACAAACTCAACCATTTCCTAATGTCGAACATATATAATATAATTAGTTACTTACATACTTTAAGTTGTGGTAATTTATTTTTTTAGGTTTTAGTTACTTTTTCTTTTAAGATTGTAGTAAATTAATTTTAATATTTAAAAAAAATTTCTTTTAGTATTACACTAGAGTAAATAAAGATGGTTATTTTGTTATAAAATCTGACAAAACGAGGAGTCAAGATTTAAATAGAGCTGATGCTCTTTCTTACATTAGAAGCATAATTTTTAAATTAGAAGAACCTGAAAAAGAAACAAGTCCTGAAACCATTGAAAAACATAGAAAAAATAAAGAAAAAGCTGCCAGACAAAGATTAATGGAAAAAAGAAGTCGTTCTCTACTGAAGATGTATAGATCTGGTGGTTGAAATAAGATTGATTTATTTTATGTAAATATTTTTTAATTAATTATTCATTGTTAATTAAATGTGCATTAAAAATTATTAAATTTAATTTTTAAACTTAAGTATTTTTTACTTAAATAGCCACACAAAAGAAAGAAAAATTACTTTTTCATTCCAATCCCTGTGACAAAATTCAAATTGTTCTAATCGAGTAATAATAAATAAACAATTAACTGATTTTGGTCCTGTAGCATTGTTTAAGCATTAACGAAAATTATTTTGTATGAAAACTTACCCATGGTTTAAAATAATTGGCCTTTTGAGGCAAGTTTAATTAAAATATTTTTCCTATTTGAATCCAAAATAAATTTTTTTAACTGTAATATAAACTTTCCATAAAAAAAAATATTATTAGTCTAATTATGAAAAAGTATCTAATAAAATTTTAATTCGCCATTTTTACGTTTTAATTAAAATTTTATTAACAGTATAAAAAAAAAAATTAATTTTTAAACCAAATTTTTTTTTAGACATTTAATAAATAAAATTTAATTACATGAATTTTAAATATTATAAAAACTTTGATAAAGTTTTTTTAATTGTAATTAAATTATTTTTTAATTTAAAATGTTTTAAATTTTCTCCTTCATTTCTTTCAAAAAAAAATTCCCTCGCAAAAAAAAAAAAAAAATTTCAATTTCCGAGGGCGGAAAAAAACGGTACTAAAAACGGTTTTTGGAAATTTCTAGAATGATCCAAGAAACGTAAAATTGGCGCGGAAATAAATAGAACTTGATGAAGCTGTTAACTTCAGATAAGAGATTTTTATGGTTACTTACTTACATTTTATCTGTATATATTTCTGAAAAGAAAAGTAAATTAATTTTTTTATTTATTAATATAATTTTATTTTCGTTACATTCTACTTATATTTTATTTTCATTCTTTTTAAAATTAATAAAAGTTATGCTGCCATCAAAAATTTTGAATTTTCAACATTGCAGTAAAAATTTTTTATCCAAACGTTATAACTCAATCATTTGTGTTAATAATGAAGTTCGTCAAGCACTTTTTGAAAAAAAGGGTGTAGTAGCTTTGGAAAGTACTATTATAACCCATGGTATGAAATTTCCAGAAAATTACAAAACCGTTATATCTGTACAAAATAGGGTAAGGGAGGAGGTTAGTTTTAGAACAATTACTTTTTTCTTTTTTTTAACAAAAGTTTGAGTATATCATCTTATGATATTTTATTAATTTGTAATTTTTAATATAGAAGGCAATTCCAGCAACAATAGCTGTAATAAAAGGGAAAGTTAAAGTTGGTCTTACTGATCTCGAACTTCAAGAATTGTCAGAAAATCAAAAAAATTGTTTGAAAATTTCAAGGAGAGACTACCCATTTGCTATAAGCAAAAAATTAACCGGAGGAACCACTGTTTCTGGAACTATGTTGATTGCTCACAAAGTCGGGATTTCTATATTTGTTACAGGTAGGACAAAAATTATTTTTTTGGAAAAGTTATCTGCATGTGTTACAAATAGTTAATGTGATTAACAGGTGGAATCGGTGGAGTTCACAGAGAGGGAGAAAGTACAATGGACATAAGCGCTGATTTAACAGAACTTGGAAGGACTCCTGTGGCAGTGATTTCCAGTGGAGTCAAATCAATATTGGATATTGGTAGAACTCTAGAATATTTAGTATGTAAACTTTAAAGAATTTTATGTAATAATGAAAATGGCCAAATTTAAAAAAATTAGAAAAAAAATTTTTTTGTCAGGAAACTCAAGGTGTTGCTGTGGCTACTTATGGATCAAGCAAAGAATTTCCTGCTTTTTTTTGTAGAAAGAGTAATTTTGAATCTCCATATAATTTGATTGATGAAATAGAAGCTGCTGAATTCATTCAGTCAATTTTTGATTTACAATTAGGTTCTGGAATTTTAATAGGTGTACCTATACCTAAAAATGATTCGCTAAATGGTTAGCATACTTTTTTACCTTTTGTTTTTGATTTAATACTCATTCTTTTAAAAAAAAAATAATTCACATTTTAGAAACGGATATTTTAAATGCAATTGAAGAAGGATTGAAGGCTGCAAAAAATAAAAATATAAAAGGTAAAGAAGTTACTCCTTTTTTATTAAGTCACATTTCGAGTTTAACAAAAGGCAAATCATTGGCAGCTAGTATCCTTTTTCTTTTGAGTAACTTTGTTTTAAAAACCTGCATTTTATTATTATTTTTTTTTAAATTCATAAGTATACTTATTACAATTAATAATTATTTCAATTTGAACACTAGATTTTTTCTACAATTTTACTTTCATCAAGTTTTATTTATTTATAATGGTTTTCGATGCATTTTTATTTTATTTTACTACCATTTTTTTTGAAATAGTGCAGAACACCATAGTAAAAGTTATATAAAAAAAAAAGGAAGAGTTTAAAAGTATTTTTTTAAATTGTTTGTATAAATTTCTGAATAGTTAATCATGTTTAGTAATAACTTTGAAAACTAATTATTTCTTCAAAAAATTTAAAATTAATAATATTTTCCTAATAAAGTTGTTTTCAGACATGGCTCTTATAAAAAATAATGCAACAATCGGTAGTAAAATTGCTGTAGAACTTTCAAAGTTACGTTTACAAAATAATTATAGTTCGAACGCGTATTTATCCAAGTTAAATTATAGTAGTGATGTGAGTTATAATAATGATAATGTTTTTAACGAGTTTTGCGGTGGTAGTAGTGAAAAAAAAAGTGAAAAGTTTAGTGCTGTCGTTATAGGAGGATCAAATGTGGATTTGGTGGTCAACATAATGGATGATGATTTTAAGGTAGGATAAATTTTTTGGTTTTTTTTTTTTTCAAATCTCTAATTTGTGCTTAGGAAATCTTTTACAAATGCCAAAAAGATAGATTTGATTGATGTCAATTAACGGTTAATTATATATATATAATAAGTTGGATATCAAAAAGTAAATAATTGTTTGGGTGTGTGTGTGTCCATTATGCCACATCATTAGCTTAAAAACATTTGGGGGAAATCAAATGACCAAAACTTTATTAATTTTTAAATGGGTTCCACAATAATTATTAACATATATATATATATATAAAAGAGTAAAAAATTAATTTGTATTCATTTTAATTAAGGTAAAGTTTTTGATATATAAATTATACACATAAAGTAAATTTTTTTTTTTTTGTGAAACAAAATGAGCAATTTATTATCTGTTAATTAAGTGTTTATACCTTTTATTAGGGTAGAAAGGATAAGATTTATCTTTTTTTTTTTTTTTTTTTTACAAAAAAAAAAAAAAATTTAAAAACATTTTGAATTTTATTTTCATTCAAAATGTTTATGGATATATATATATTTATATATGCTTCACATAAGCATTTTTATTTATAAAAAATAAATTTTATATAATATTATATATATATAATACGTGTCATCGTTAATATTAATTACATATTAATAATTTACTGTAAATTATTATTATTATTTAATAACTAAGAAATATTGCAATTATTTAAGAGCATTACAAAACTAACTTTTTTTTTTTTCGGGAAGTGTAGCTGGAAAATAAAATTAAAAAAAAATTATATAAATAAATAAATAAATAAATAAATAAAAAAGAAAATTATGTGTGCTACAAATATTTTTCTTTAGCAAATATATAATTTATTTAAATTTTGAACTTTTTAATTTGGTCTTTCTATTATATAATCAACAACAACAACAACAGAAAAAAAAAAAATTAAAGAAAATATTTATATGTATTGGTCAATTTAATAGTATAAAAATTATAGACGGCCAATATTTTATTTTTTTAATATACAATTAAATTAATATATATATTTATAAAATATTGAAATGAAAAATTTTAAAATTATATAAATAAATAAATATTGTGTGTGTGTGTGTAACCATAATAACATTAAATTAAACACAAATAATAAAAAAAAGATTTTTAATATATATAATATAAATATTTATATTCGGTTTAGTCTTTAAACATTTCTAAAATTAATAAAAACTCATTGATTAATTAATAATAATAATAAATTTGGTTTTTTTAATTAATTAATTAATTATTTTTATTTTATAATAATATTAATATATATATATATATTTTTTTTTCTGCATAAGGCGATTTAATTTTATAATTTACAAGGTATTTTCGATAATTATTCTAAATAAGAATTTTAATATAATTTATTGCGATAAAAATAAAAAATAATAATAATAATATTGTTTTCTATTGATTGATAGTAAAAAAAAAAATAATAATAATAATCGTTTTCTAAATATTAAGTTTATCTTAATATAATTATACTAATCAACAATTTATATCATTTTATTAAAAAATAAATAAATAAATAAAAAGCTCTGTAATAGATAGATAATTTCGCGGTATAAATAATAATAATAATTTATTTATTTATTTATTTTTATTAATTACTTTTTGATTGCGGTTAGATTTGTTTTTAAACTTAACGATTTTTTTTTCATTTTTTTTTTTTTTTTTTTTTTTTTAAAGTTTCACCGAACTTTATGAATTTTTTGCAACGACAGATATGTTTACGTGTAAAAGAAATGGGGGGGGCGGGGGTTTGGGTATAAAAGAATTTTTTTTTTTTGTAAATTAAATAAAAGTAATTAAGGTTTAATTATCAATGTGGGTTAATGGTTAGTGATAGGGTCGGTCGACAGATGGTTTTTAATCGGTGAAACGTGTGGAAGAAAAATAATAATAATAATAAACATTTTTTCACTCAATCATTGGCATAATAGCATATTACAAAATTTAAAAAATGAATAATAATAATAATAATAATATTAAAAAGCTCTGGTTTTTATTTACTCGTTAAAACTTTTTTTTTTTGTAACAATATAAATATTTTTAATAATTAATTATTATTATCACATTTTTGTTTATATAAGTTTTTAGGATTTACTAAATTAATATTAATCCCTATTTTCCACATAATATATCTTAGTCAAATTTGAGCGGAACGTTTTACGAGTAGATCCTGTAATTCGTGACATTCGTAATTATTATTGCCGTTCGATGATGACATTCTCGAATGTTTCTTTTTCGGAGATGCATCGTCACCGTCTATGAGAAGGGCACAATGGGAGTTGGTGTCTGATTCGTTTCCAGTATCTCCTCCGGGTGTGCTTGAAAACAGCCTTTGATTTTGTAAAGACATGTGTTTGATTTTTTTCTGATGAGCCGGAGTCGTTTGACTCGATTCGTGAGGCTGTAAAAGGAGTAAAGCGTTCCCTAATGAATTGGCTCTCATTCGATCCGGTTTTTCTTTCGCGGGAATGTCCGTGGATAAATTCGTTTGGCTTTTGTTCGGATTTCCCAAATGTATCGCGTTGTCCATGTGGTTGCATAAATTGTGAGGGGATTGCGGAGATTGCGATTCCGGGTTTTCATCCGGACTGTCCATGCTTAAAAGAAGTATGGGAGGTTGAAGTTCTCCTTGCAGTAATTTTATCTTTTGTATCATTTCTCTTATTTCGTATTTAAGTATTCCTAAAAAACATAATTTTAAAAAAGCGATCACGCAATATCCTAACACTCCCAACAAATGAGCACTGTCCCGCATCCACTCTTTAAGCTTGACCTCGCAGCCTACCGAAAAATGTAACGTTTTACTTATGCCGTATACGGTCCCTATAGAATGTCCGTTAATATTTGCACAAGTGTTCATTATATCAATATTACTACCCGTCGAATTATTATTATTATTATTATTATTATTATTAATGAATTGTATAAAATTTTTATTTTGTTTTTCACTTTGTGTGACGAAATTTGTTGAAATAGAAAAATGATGTGGAGTTTTATTTACGATTTCATTTTGTCTTAGATGACTGCTCCGAAATTGTCGAATATTTTCTTTGGCGTGTCTTTTGTTCCAGGTTTTACAATTTTTCGAACTGTTACAAATGTCGTCGGGAACGGGCGTCGTCAGACTTCTTTTGGATGTTATATTTTCCTGTTGTCTATTTTTTTTCTTTTCTAATCTCTGTCGAATGGCGGTCGGTTTACTTTGGGGTTCTTTTTGTTTTTCTTCCGTATTTTTATCCGGTTCTTCTTCTGTTATCAAACGACAACAACTTTCGGGAACGTGACGTACTTGTTTAGCGTTTGAATCTTTGGTTGTTGTTGTTGTTGTTGTTAATTCGTTCGAAGCCGAAGCGGTCGTGAGATAAAAATTATTAGGATCGTCCGTAAAATTATCATCTAAACCGGTAATATCGGTCGTGTAATATTTTGTACTTTCCACTAAAAAGTTTGCACTTTTTTCTAAAAGTTTATTTTCCGGTAATCTATTCAAACTTTCGTCTACGAAACTGTTTGTTTTTTGTAGGTCTTCCGTATCGTTTCCTATCGTTATAGACTTTCTTTTTGATAAATCAATTTCGTTAAAATCTTGCGGTCCTTCGACTCCGCAGCATCGCAAATCGTTTTGTATGGTGTCCCAAAGCTCGGTGAATTCCTGATTAATACCATATTCCATTTGAAGTCTTTGCCTTAGTATGGGTCTTATATCCGTGTAAATTTTATCAAAACGAAAAATCCAAACGACTCCGATAAACGCATCGCCAAAAAGTAAAAATAGTAGGAGAAACCAATACGTGTTGAGAAGTTTTTCATTTAATTTATGTGCTCCGATGCAACCCAATAATTGCAAAAGGCCGCTTTGGGTTAATAGTGCCAAATAAGCATAGAGCAATGAGGGTTCGTGTAGAGTCAAACCAGGAATTAACGTTCTGTAAAATTAAAAATAAAATAATTTAACAAATAAAACGTACATTTTTTTTTTTATTTGAAAATTAAATTTCAAACGTAATTAAACCCGAGTTTACACACACACAAGCTTGAAAATATGCATTTCCCCCCCCCCCGTCCCTTCTTGTTTATTATTATTATTATTAAAAAATGAACGCGACGTTTTCTAATGATTTACACAATTAAAATGTTATTTACCTTCTAGGGTCAACTAAAACCACTTTTCCAGCTACGATAATAAAACCTAAAACGCTGACAAAAAGCACTGCGTTGCACGTATATATCCATATTCTATAATAGTTCATTGCCTTGCCTTTACGTTTTGGGCCACCTATTTTTAAAAAAAAAAAATTTATTAAATAATTTTATATTAACATAAAATATAGTATATAACATATTTATAGTATACCAACCTGTATGTGGAAGGCTAAAAACGTTTAGTCTCGATCTATT